CTCACATCAACCTCTGAGCCATGTCTCCTGCACAGATGGGCCATCATCCCTTCCCTGGCAGGCTGACTGACTGCATAGTCAGGGTTTCATGCAGGAGGTTGTTACGCCTTGCCTATAGGCCCTGCCATGCTCTCCCAGGTTGCTAGGCCTCAACAGAAACACACAATACTTATAGAGTCTTTTCGCTCAGTTTCTGAAATTAAAAGAGCACATTTCATTTAGCTAGTTTCATGTAGGAATTCACCCCACAGCAGGAATCTCTGCCTAGTCCAAAACTAAATAACTGCTACGCCATCCTCTTGACCCCTGAACTCAGTTGAAAGGGGTTAGTTAGCCTCTGGAAGCGGCAGAGATTTTTTTTCCTTACAGATTAAAGATCACCTGTTGAACAATCTGTATAACAGAACCTCCTTATCAATAACATACTCATATATGGCCATTTTATATCCCTTCGATAATCATAGGAGGTAGTGTATTTATTTTGTCTTCTTTTCTCCATTAGGTGCACCAGGTATAATTTCTTCACCATATGCAGGGGCTGCTGGATTTGCCCCAACCATTGGATTTCCTCAAGCTACTGGTAATTCTTTTAAGTTCAATTTGAAATGATCTTATAGAATGAAGTTCTGTGTTTTCTAGAAACTATCACGTTATGCTTATCAGCCGTAGAAGTTACTCATATGATGCAGTTTCTTTGTATTTAAAAATAATTCTTTCTGGTTCCATTAATTCCGTTAAGTATTCTCTATCATTTATACTTGCCATTGGCACAAATAACTGTAGGTTATCTACATTATCAGTTATATGAGCTACTTTTGTCTTTACTGATACATTTATCAATTATGTGTTGAATAGACCTGCCTTATCTTTGTGTCTTCAATGCCTTTGACAACACTTAACACATAGTACAAGTATTTGAATTTTAAGTATTGGTAAGTATTTGAATTAATAAATGTTTACTGTTCAACTTCTTTGGAAGTTGGAAATTGGAAAAGATTACTGTAGCAGGGTATGCATGCCATTTATTTCAGAGGGTATGTTTTTTCTCTTTGGCAAATGGAGGTAATTAAGAGAAGTTAATGAATATTGGTAATGACTCTTTTCTTTTCTAAAAAGTAAACAAAATTAACTTAATCATGATTTAAGAAGAAGAAAAAAGTTATTTTATGTTTTTATCTCTGGTGCCTAAAGAAAACACAGAGGTCAGTGATTCAGGGAGTGGCATATTATGTTTGCAGCTTCCAGCTGATTGAGGAATGTAACTTCATTTTAAAATTATAGTAATCTGGTACCTACCCATAGCTCAGTGCTTAGGGCACCAGCAACATACACTGGGGCTGGCCGGTTCAAGCCCAACTGGGTTTGAGACTCTGTCTCCAAAGAAAAAAAATGCAGCAATCTACTTTCTTGCAATAATCATTATATCCTAACCTTCTTGTGCTAGGAATTTTAACTACTCTCTTTTTGATGGGGAGGATGGAGTCAACTAAAAAGGAAAGAGTGATATGAGGGTTGTAGTTTTAATATTTTGGTGATTTTTAATATATCCTAACACACAGCTCACACGCCTATAATCATAGCACTCTAGGTGGCTTTGGCAGGAGGATTGGTTGAGCTGAGAAGTTTGATACTAGTCTGAGCAAGAGTATGACCCCATCTCTAATAAAAATAGAAAAATAGGCGGGGCGTGGTGGATCACCTGTGCTCAGAGGTTCGAGACCAGCTGAAGACCAGCCTGAGGTAGAGTGAGCCAGAGTGAGACCCTGTCTCAACAACAACAACAACAACAACAA